AGTTGCTACGCCCCATCGCCATATGGCAGTTTAGGGGGGTGAGAGGGGGATTTGTTGGCTATTATAAATTCTGAAATTAATAAACGTATAAACAGCCAGCAAAGGTGCAAAAAACCCGAAATAACAGCGGGTTGCACAGCTACAGAAATAATTTCTATTAATAAAATTTAAATTGGTCCATAACCATTTTCATCTTTTAAATGTTTTTCTTTTTAAGTCCACAAAAATTACAAAAAAAGGTCATAATATTTAACAAAAATATATGTTTCCATAGCATATTTAGTTAGGTCAAAAATTAGCACACTTTCAGTAAAAATGTTGGCTGGGAAAACAAAATATTTTATGAACTTGTAGTTATTGTTATTACTAAAAGAAAATTGAAAATTTTGTTTCAAAATTCGCCTATTCAAGTGAAAAATCAAAAACCAAATTTTTTAACATTTAAAATAAAAAAAACGGTTCTACTGACAAGTGGAACGTAAAACATAAAGGTATAAATTAAATTAAAATAATATTCGCTTTATGAAACAACTCAAATCAGATGAGATACAATGCTCTCTATTATTTTTTTGCCAAAAGGTTTATCTAAAGGGAAACACTATTTCGCCATCTTTAAACTGAGTGTTTGAATGAGTGTAAGATGCTATTTGATTCCTGGCAAAGCAGGACTATTACTTTTACCATTGCGGACAGCCCGCCGTTTGTGGCAGACGAGGGTCCCGTTGTGATGGCCCCACCGCCCACTCCGCCCCCACCCGCGGCTGCGGCAGAGGCAGCAACGCCCTGCGTGGCCTGGGCCGCCGCCGCAGCTGCGGCTGCCACTTGTCTGATGCTCAGACAGTTGCAGAGCGGCTTCGTCACGCCCAGCGTGCACAGGGCGTTGGACCACATGGTGGTGCTGGTGGTGCTGTTGGTGGTGCTGCTGCTGCCAGCCACTTTTAGGCCGAATCTGCGCTGCTGGCTTGCAATCGTGGGCTCCGTCGCTCCCAAGGTCGCCTCACACTTGGAGCTCCAAGCTCAAGTAATCCATGTTCGCCTAAAAATCCGTTATATAAACCCGTTTTACGCTTTATAAAATCCGTTTTCGGAGGCTTCTACTAAAGGTTCTACAAAAATTAAAGCTTATTGCTTATTGTTTGTCTGTTAAATGCCTTGCGTTCAGGGGAAAAATTCGTTATTACAAAAATTGGTAGGGAGTCACGAAAAAAAACGCACTTTGCACAAAATGTTGCTGCTGGTAAAAAGGGTTTTTTTCACTAAATTTGGTTTCTTAAGTTTGTTGTAAAAACTTGCAGAGCAAATGTGCCTCGAATTTTGCTTTTCGCTGCTCGTATTTCGCATTCGCATTCGTATTTTTGGGGCAGGTCAGGGCGGGTTGACCTTCGCACTTTCACTTTACGGATACTACGCGCCTGCAGCGCCCCTTTTGCCCGTGAAACCGCCGAGTTTTCGTTTTCATTTGACGCTGCCTTTGTTCTTAGACTTAACTATAGTTTGCACTGTTTTTAGAAAGTTATATCGTAGAAAAACGCTCGATTTGTTTAGTCCACACCCAGTTGAAACGTGTTGTTTCTACGGGTGAAAGCAAAAAGTGGCAGCAGCCTTTTCTTTTGCTGCCTCCGTGCCTGGCAGCTTGGCAGAGCAAACTGTGAGTTTTTCCCGATGAGATGCTGCATCGGATTTCACTACGACTCCTGCTGCTTCTTCTACTTTTGGGGCTGGGTGCGTTTTTGCAGCGCTTTAACAGCGCTTGAAATGAGCACGAGACTTAAACGAGAGAGAAGTGCAGTGAGAACGAGGTGAAATGCAGCGCAAAGCTTTATGGGTGCGAGAGAGACAGGCAGAGTGGGGAATATAAGCGTTACTACCAATCTAGCTTATTATATTATTCTCTAAAACTCAAGGTCTTAATTAAACTGTATTTGTTTTGTATATTATATTATCAGTTATGTATTTAACCCCTTTCCTTTTAAAACTCTATGTTTTAACAGTCAATATTATTCGGCCGTGCTTTGGCCTACATTTGCATCAATGTGATATAATCAGGGCGCTAAGGCGCGCGCACCTTCTCCCGCAAAGAGCTCTACAAGTATTCCCCAGGATCCCAGTCGTTTTGTTTAGTAAATATTTACACCCAATCAACGCCGATCAATTAACCCTTTTTATTGGATTGTTTGTCTTGGCAAAATACAAATCTTTTTTTAGGACCTTACGGCCTTAGCATTTAAACTGAAACATTAAACATTAAGGACTTTTAATAAAAAAGCATAGGAGAGAGATGCAATTTTATATGCAGCTCCCTCTCTCTCACAGTCTCTCAAAAGCATTGCCAGCTGTAAATGTTAATGGATAACAGAGCTCTAAAATAAATGTAACTGCTACTGGCCGAGATTTTTAATTGCAGTAAGAAGAAGCGATAATCTCCTTTTATTTATGCTAAATAATGCTAGATCAACTGCCATCTGAATGCAATCTCAACTGCATTTTACAGCTTTTAAAGGAATTCCTAAGTTCGGGGAATTTACAACTATTTTTTTTTAATATTTTGGAGACAAGCTCACAAAGCAACAATTTTGGAAAAGCCAGAGAGAAAAATGCCTTTCAATGGGGTAAGGTGGGCAAAAGAAGAGGAAGAAGAACAACAACAGTTGCAGCTGCACGTGGAACGGGGGCTGTAGGAAAGAAGGGCGTTGGGGGAGTGGCACATCTGTGAGGCGTAAGTATTACCTCAGTTATTTGGGTCAAAGCTATTCACTCACCCGCAAAGCAAAACGAAACGAAGGAACTGCATAAAACATGCACAAACACACACACACTCTCATGCAGACCAGAGCTTGGGGGACACGCACACAAAGAGACTAATGCGGGCCACAGGCTTAATAGGTTCCTCTAGCGGATGCGGACGCGAATGCGGAGTATCCGCAGCGATACGCCTTGCCAGATCCACTCGCTAAAGGTTGTCAAATAACAAATTCAAAGAGATACAGTAGAACTCCTTCAGTTTAAACCAGACATGTTCCAGAACTTTAATTACACAATTTTTGAGCTAAAACAACTGAGAAATTTTGTTACCAAAAAAAAAAATTTTTTTTTAATATTACGTTTTAAAGCAAGTTTGCTAAACTATGTAAGGTTTAATCAATCACCACAAAAGTAATTACAAACGATTAAAAAATAAATTGTAAATTGAAAAAATAAAAACGTTAACGTAATCTTAAATTGCAAATTGTTTGTTAATTCAAAAATTATTTTTGAGTGACTAAAATATTGAACAGGAACCGAAAAATCTATTCTTAGATTAAAAGCGTGCTATAACGGTCAAGTAGACTACACTTTCGATTACAATATATAAAAAGAATTCCTAGAAGAACAAGAAAAAACAATGCAAAGAGTGGGTTTTTAGTAAATATATCCAGTCCATTGAGATAATTTTTCAAAAGTTCCTATATTAAAAAAAAATTAAAAATTCGTTTGCGACGAAGGGGGTCAACATTAGAGAATCTGAGCTGCAGGTCTTAGGTTCTTTGTAAGGCAGAGCAGTATATTAACCGTTGTAATGTTGGGTTGACTAAATAACAATGGCTTTGTAAAATGAATGAAAGTGGTGTTTATGGGTTTAAGACAGCTGATTTGCGCAGATGAATTTTTAACGCTTACGATCGGGAAAATTAACGATTAAGCCGTAGTTGCCGGCTTTGCTTTTAGCACGTTTGCACTTACCTCTCTGGCCATTACGACATGTTCTCACCAGCGGCGCCCGCTTAGAGGGTCTGCCATTTGCTCAGCAGCAACAACAACTACAATAACAGTAGCGCCTCAGTGAAAGAGGGGGTGGAAGAACCAACAACAAAGCTCACGCTTTTCGCGATACAACAGTATTCGTGTGTGTGTGTAGGCGGCAAACGGGATAAGCAGAGAGACAGAGAGAGAAAGAGTGTGGGAGGTGTGCGTGTGAGTGCTTCAAAAATTCTCTACTACACGTTTATTTTCAATCTTCTCTTCCCGCACATTTCTTCAACGCGCCGATGCTGCTTCGTTCTTCCTCTTGCCTTTCTAGCCTCTCCTTTCCTTGCCGTTCCTTTCCCTCTCTTCCTGTATAGGTTGTGTGTGTTGGTGTGCGTGCGTATAGGTGTGTATTGGAATTTGCTAAGGTATTTTCTTAAGCAAGCTTGAATTTATTTAAACAATTAGCATACATCACTATTTAGCTATTTTTTGTAGTAATTTGTCTCTACCTACGCCCACTTTTATAGGTGCGGCTGTTGGTCAGGATTCACTAATGGCAGTGGTAGTGGTGTGCGGTGTTTCTGTGTGCGTGCGAGAGAGCGCATTGGAGTACCGTTATCGCTGGCGGAGCCACATTTTCCTATTTGACATACACTTTTTTGTTGCGATTTTCGCCAATTTTTTGCGGCACACGCGTCTTGTTTTTTATTCAACAAACTAGCTTTTCATTTTTTTTTTTCTTTAAAGCTTCCTTTTTACCGTTTTTTCTTATCGCTTTGTATGTATGGTACACACGCCTTTTGCTTCACATACGCTTTAGTTTTTGGCAGTCTTTTAGTTGTTCTATTTAAGCACGTTTTAGCAAATGTATTTGATGATGGCGATTAAAAAGGTTATTTTTCGGTGCGAAAACAATAACATTTAATTCATTTTAAGCCGAGAACAAATGCAAATCAATTTTTATTTTCGGCAGCACTCGACTTTCTATCGTTATCGATATCTTTTGCTAGTGCTCTTTTTCTAGCATACTTTTGGGTGGTGCATGAGCCACACTGAATATACCAAAGGGGATGTCAACCTAATTTCAGAAATTTTATTTAAATTCGAGTTAAATAAAAAGATTTAGAAAGGTACTTTGTGTGTTTAAAACAAGATTTTTATTGGATAATTAAAGAGTAAATATTTAAATACACTATACGGGGTAAGTATATAAGAAATGTATTTTAAAGTAATAATACTTTAAATACCTTAAATTTGGTATTCTGGAAAAGGAAAGCGGCAGTCACACTATAGTTGCTAAATCTGCAAAGCCAACATAAAAATAAAGTAAATTAATAAAACCTTATAAAACTAAACAAACACTTACTTAGCTCAAAATGGATGACATACGCAGTAGCATGGATAACATGATGGCGCAATTTAACGACAGCATAACCCACTCGGCGCCAAAAAAACTGCTCTTTAACCGGCTTTCCGCCTCTTTCAGCGATGACTTAGTTCCTTGTAAGCGTGAAAGTGTTATTTACTAGAGTGCCATGAAAAAACAAACGCTTGCTTTTTCAGCACCAAAAAAGCGACGCTTGCAGCGGGAGTCGCCCGAAGGGAGTCTCAACACCAGTGCCGTCTCCTTTAATGGCTCCTGCACGGATCCCTTGGGCCAATGGCATAGCAGCAAGCTGCGCTCCGATCTGATCGAAGCCAAGGCCACAGTCATTCAGCTGCGCAACGAAATTGAGCAGAAGAACCGGGAACACCGTAAGGCCATAATGCTGGAGGAGAACAAGAGTGCAGCGCTAAAAGAGCAGTGCGATACCACCTGCAAGAAGTACTTGGAGCTGGAGAAGGAGCTGGCTGCTCTTAAAAAGCGAGAGGTGGCCTTCAAGGATGAGGCCAGTCGAGCCGCAGCCGAGATAAGGCAGCTCAAGCAGAAGTACGACGAGGCCATATCAAAGCTACAAAGAGAAAAGTTCCAGCAGGAAGAGGATGCTCGCGATGTCCAGCTTTGTATAAACAACGAACTAAGCGAGTATCGCCGAATAGCCCAGCGGACCGATCTTGAGTTGCAGTCGGCTCGTAACGAACTAGAACGACTGCGCCGGCGTCATGACGAGTTTAAAACCCGGGTAGCCGGATTTGAGGAGTTGCGCGGTAACTACGAGAAGCAGACACAAAGCTTAAAGATGGCCAATGATCGCATTCAGGAGTTAGAGTTTGAGATTCAATCCTATGCTGACTGGAAAGAGATAACAAAGGCATCACAGGAGCGTCTTGCCAGTGTTCCGGACCTGCTGACCGAAGTTGAGCGTTTGCGTAATACTAACAGGCATCTAAACACTTTGATTGGTGATAAACTTCTACTGGAAGAACAGGTACACGACTACAAGACGCGACTGGACCGCGAAGAGGGTGCTCGTGCGGAGGCTGCTTCACTCCAAGTAAAACTTGCTCATGTGGAGCAAGAACTGAAGGAGTGGGTCAAAGTTGCCCAGGATCACTGTCTAGCCAACACCTTGGTCAGTCCAATCGCCCTGCGCTCGCGCATCGAGCAACTTTTAAAGGAGGACATCATCCATATGGCAGAGAAGGTCTCTTCCACTTCGGACAGCAAACATTTGCAGGTAAGTTATGTTCATAAATTCAGTTAAAACTTTTATGTAAATACTGTTTCTAGTCCTCAGTGCGTGACCTAGAGCAAAAGTGTGCTATTTATCTGAAAAACATTGACGATCTGAAAAACGTACTGACACGCCACAAGAACTTCAAGGAGCGCCTGCAGCGAAAGTTAATCACCGTGTCCAAGGAGCGCGACTTCTATAAGCAGCTGGTGGACAACTTCGACAAGGACATGACCATGAGCAGCACCAGTGTTGCTGACATGACGCAGGACATGCAGGTGCGATACCGCGTAGAAGTGCTCGAGCGCACTGTCACTGGATACAAAGATATGTGTGCCACGTTGGAGCGCGAGATTCAGGCCATGCGGCAGCAGGAGTTGCTAAACGAACCCGCCGGCGACGGCTACGATAACGTTAAGAAAGAGTTGGATACTCTGCGGCTGGAAAACGAGAAGCTTCGCCGACGCAAAGAGGAGCTCGAACTGGAGATGATGCATCGTTGCCTGCGCGGCGACTTCAACATGAAGGAATACAAGGTTGTGCATCTGAACGAAAACCCCGCTGCCGAAGCCTATGAGTCCAGCCAGAACATGGTGGAGAAATTGCAGGCGGAGATCGAACGGTTGAAGCGGCGCAATAAGAAACTGGAGGACGACCAGGAGCAGCGGCTAAATGAGACCACCAGTACGGGCGGCATGACTCTGAACTTCAAGGAGTTTAATCAACTGCGTGCGGAATTGGAGTCAGCCAATGGTAAGATGCGCAAGATGAAGGATTGCTTTAAGGCGGCCAGAGAAGAGTTCCGCGATGTTTGCTACATGCTTTTGGGCTACAGAATCGATCGCATTGGCGCCAACAGCAACTATCGGTGGGTTTCGACATCATTATCCCTTGTTTTTATGGTTTATTGAATATTCCTTTCGCTTCCAGAATTTCCAGCATGTTTGCAGAAGGTCCGGATGAGTATCTGGACATCAGTCTCAATGAATCGAATTGCTTAGCTCTGTTGGAGTCGCCCTATTCGAATACATTTAATCCGCCAATTGACCAGCAGCTGGCCGCCAGTAACTTCCCCACATTCTTCTCCGCCCTTACCCTAGAGCTATTCCAAAGGTCCACGGTCACCATAACATAGGAAAACGTTATTTAAACGCTAGTCTAAGTTAGCTGATTGCCAAGGCAGTCATCTTTATCCTTGTCAGCATCAAATATACGAAAGTTTTACAAATTATAAAATACTATCTGCCACCAGACTGTATTCGACTGCGAAAATAATTATATTTGTGTAATGCATTGCAAGCATGATTATTAAAAACCCGAATATTAAAAGATTAAATATATATTTTATAAATTATAGTAATGCACAATAAACATTGGAATGATAGCCTATCCACTAAGTGGAGGTTAGGATGTGGGCTACCTGCTCGGGCGTCCTGTGGAGCAGCTGCTCTGGCTGTTCGAATCCGTTGGCCGGATCGTGGACACGTTCGTAGATCTGCTTGTAGATGGCCACGATCACGTTAAAGGAGCGCTTTTGCACGGTCGCCCGATGACTGCTGGACATGATGAGCTGCACTTGTGGCAGTAGCAGCACATCGGGCAATTCCAGAAAGGCGTCCATCTTGGACATGAAGATCTTGAGCAAATTTGTCTCTATTTTGGACTGATTGCTCTGCAGAATTGCGTAGATGGGACCCAGGTTCAAGTTGGCCACCAGTGAGGACGCCTGCTCAGAAGTAAGTGTGTCCAGTTGGGCATCCGATTGGGCCTGCAACCGCTCCACACGCTCATCCATGTATTCATAAACCGCCAGCGAGCTCTGCATGTGATGAAGACAGTTCAGAAGGTAGACGCCCATGTCCACGGTGGGCAGATGGGCGGCACTCTCCTGCACGGACTGCAGCAGTGGGTCGATCACACAGCTAACAATTTTGGTAATGTCCGCCTGGCGACCATCAACCATGGTTGCCACCGAGAGGATCTCTTTGAGCATATTAAGCAGACGGGCAACGCTTGGCGGCGGAACTAGGTCCCTTTGCGGTGGTTCCAGTGCCAAACCCGATCCTCCAGAGGGTCGCTGCAAAACGCTTCGCACCTGAGAAGCCAAAGCGCCTAGATAAATCTGCTCACTGCTCTTTTGCAGCTCCACCAGACACTCCTCCAAACTGCCACCTTGCACCACCTGGCGCATTATTTGCTGGTAAAAGCGCAGCAAATTGGAAATGGTGAACAACACAATGGTGTCCTTTTCTGCCTGTAGAATCGTCTCTACGCGCACTTTAAGAGGATGACAAACACCATCGGCTATGTAACCTAAAGCGTTATGCAGTTGGTCGGAAATATCTATGGGAAAAGGAAAAGCATTATGTACCTTACAGAGTTACGGAGTTTTTACTTAACTAACCCTGCTTATCGCACTTTTTGAAGAGCAACGACAAGTTCTCCTTCTCGCTGGGAATACTCTGATGCAGCCAGGCAAACATATCGCCAATATAACGCTTGGGGTCATGCGCATGCAGCTCAATGGGCTTAGGATTGCCACCGGGACCACCTTCTGTCAAAGCCTCAATAAACTGACGTACCAAAACAGCCCGCCTGGCAATGGCGTATTCATCAATTACATATCTAAATGGATTTGAAAACTGGTAAACTGGTAAAGGAAATTATAGAAAATGGAAATACTTGAAAAGCACAGGGCGATCCTGCAGTCGGCTCATGGCTTCCACAATAAGGGGACCGATCTCGTTGTTCTCCAAACTGCGACAGTGGTTCTGTGTCCAGCGGTAAAGTCGCTCCAGAGCGCCCTCCTGGTGTAGGGTCATCTCTTCCATAATGTCCAATGCAGCCGTTTGGTAGCCACATTGCATTAGCAACCGGCAGTCAGCATGGATGCTTTGAACTCTGTCCAGAACGCGGAAAAAGTCCGCCACAATAGGAGCATCCTTCGCCGAGCCGTAGAGCAACTGATGCTCCGCTCCACTCAACTGAAAGCGGGCCAGGAATGCTTGTGCAATCTGCTGGTGCACCTCCAGTCGATCCCTTTCCCGCTGCATGGTGTTGGTCTGCTCAATCAGATCCTTAGTCAGCGCCTTTGAGGTCTCCAGATCCGATTTCACGGTCTCTACTGACGTGGCCATCGTGTCCAGATCTTGGCACACGGCGTCCAGGGAGAGCTTCACTTCGCGGAAGGCCTTCAGGAAGTTCTCGTTGATGCCCACTGAGCGGTGTTCGATCTGGCTGCGGAGATTCCTGCGGTTCTGAAGGGTGTTTTCTGTGAAGAAGGTGGAAAGGCCACTTAAAGCGTCCAAAGTGTCCTATGCGGGATATTGGAGTATTTATTTTCAAGCTAAGTTTAGGGCATTATGTAACACACCTTATCCGACTCCAGGCGCGCCTCCAGGATCTTGTTGACCCTTTTCTGGATTCTGTCCTGCTCCTCCGGTTTTTCCTTCGTCGAGCTCATCTTAAATTGTGTTAGTGAGACCAGCTCTCGCAATAGTAAACATATGATTAACGAATACTAAATAAGAAACATAGAAGATCAATAAGTTATTTACATGCTTTCCCTTTCAAAGTTAAAATATTTTTAGTTTTTTTCGGGAGTCAAGGAGTAACAAATTTAATAAAAACGAAAAACATTAAAAATACATACAAAGAAAATATTGATGCATTAAAAAAACCAATTCCAAATTACCGGTCACATTAGCCACCGAAAAAAATACCAAAACATTATTCCTTCCTCCCTGGTGCGCAGCCAAGAAAACAATATTGAAGCCTAATTTATAAAAATAATAAATAAATTGAGAAGCTAAAGCTATTTAAACCTTAAACACAACTATATAATGGCCGCCCTCGCCAGCTTAACCGCCCAATACACAGACTCCGAGAACGAAGGCGATGCTAGTCCGGATTCTCAGAATTCAACGGCGTCCCAGGTAACTACCCGCAAATAAGTTACAAAGCTCGTGAAGAATAAGAAGATTTGTATGCTAATTACAGGTAATAATTCCGCCCAAGAGACCTTCGCCAACGCCCACTAAACAGGAAGGTGAAACCAAGCAAACCAAAGAAAAGAAAAAGAAGCGGGCCAAAAAAGTGCGACGATTGGTGAGCTACCAGGACGACACTTTGATTTCCGATGAGGACGAGGATCGGGCAGCTGTGCCCTCCAGTGAAGAGGAGTCAACCAGTGAAGAAGAAAGCGATAGCGCCAATTCCCAGGGCGAAAATAGTCCCAAACCCAAAGACAAAAGCAATGCCGGAAATGGCTCAAACGGGAACACTCCCATGGAGGTGGACGAGGAGTCAGGTGAATTTCCCTCCGAAGAACGTTCCGCTGAGAGCTACGAAAAGGATCCCAAGTATGCCAAGTACAAATTTCAACTGCCACCAGAACCCAAGGGAAAACCATCTGCGGAACTGGTGGCCAAGATTACAAAAATGTACACTAAGATGCGGCAGTCAAATATGGACATGAATCGAGTGATCCAGGACCGAAAGGAATTCCGCAATCCCAGCATTTACGACAAACTTATTAGCTTCTGCGATATCAACGAGTTCGGCACCAACTATCCACCTGAAATCTATGATCCCCTGCAGTGGGGCGAGGAATCCTACTATGAATCTTTGGCGGCAGTACAGAAAACGGAAATGGTCAAGCGGCAGAAGGACCGCAAGGACATGGACAAGGTGGAGCAGGCCACAGCTTTGGCCAGAAAAGTCGAGGAGGAGGCCAAAAAGCGGTAAGACTTCATCAGTTAAAACAAATTCTTAAAATTCAATGTTAACTCGAATAAATTTTGCAGCAAATCAAAATGGGATCAGCCGGCTCCTTCATCCACAGTTGTTAAACCCACTCTTCCAGCTCTGACCACAACGGTTACGGGCACCAAGGGCACCGTCATCTCCGCCTTTGGATCGCTGCCCAAAAAGCCAGCCGCTTAGTTTTGTATAAACGAAACTTTTAAAGGGTATTTTGCAATCCTAAGGTTGAGAGTCCTGGTTTTTTTTTGCATAAAAGAAGAAATATTAAAATGAAGAATTTAAATACACGCACTCGATAAAGGTAAACAAGTTCATTTTTATTTTATTGGGAAAATTGGAAAATAATAATCCTAAGACAAATTAATAACATGTTTTTTTAAACTAAATAAAATAATTTATATTAAAGGATATAAAAAATTTAAAATTGACAACATTTTAATCGCTCTCAATATCTTTAGCAAGTTATTAACAAATTTGTTTTATAAAGCAAATTCAAGACAAATGTATTTAACAAATATTTTAGACCATTTACTATTTAAAATGTACACAAAATATAAATCTGTTTATCTACCGCAGTTTGAGTCTACGCTAAAAAGAAAGCCATTTGGCTGGTTTATTCTAGTACGTTTTAATGTAACTAGTATATTGTTCAGGACGCCTTGGCCTTGTGAGGAGATCCAGCTACGGTCACTCTAGTTGCATGCCCGAACATCCGTGTGTGTTGAGTTGGTATTTTTGCGTTTTAAATTAAAAAACACGAATAAATACAAGGCATTGTTTATTTGTTGCACGCAGGCGGTCAACCTGGCGTAATGATTTAAATATTTAGTGTGGGTGTTAGTTAATTGCACCTTAAAAATTAAAATCAATTCAACGCAACACTGGGCAACACAACAACAACCACACACCGAGAGAAAAGAGAGAAGACAACGCAGCAGCAGTAAAAGAATTTTTTGATCTGAACGAAGCGTGTGTGTGTGCGAACGAGACAAACTGAGATTTGTATAAAAAGATGAAGAAGATGCCGAGATAATTGTAAAAATTGTCTTTGTGTGTGTGCGAATGATGAAAAAATTTTGTTTAAACAATCTTGGCCGTGCTATTTTCCTCAAGGTGCATATAAATGCGGATGTGGCCATTTACACCGCAACCGGTATTTCGTCTGCCTCCCTCTTTATTTCCTTTTTTTAACTGCGCGGACTGCTTTTTTGCCGCCACTTGCGCTGCATCTCCCCTTCCCCTCGCACTCACTGCAAAGCTTATTTATAAACCAAATTGCAAGAGCGGAACAGAAAAAGAAAAAGAAGCACCGTTCAATTGTGGGCAATTTCAATGGGAGAGCGCCATTGTCTCTGGAATATGCATAATATTTAGCATCAACAAAAGGGGGGAAAAGTGTGGAAAGAAGCGGCAAAAGAAGAAGAGCAAACCCCATCTCTTTGTTCCGCTGGCAACAATTGTAAATGAGACGCTCTGTCCCTCTTTCTCTCCTTCTTTCGCTCACCTTTCGGCGCTGCCACTTGTTGGTGTGTTTGTTGTTTGCTCGTTTGTGTGTGTTGCCCTGCCCATAACAACTAAATTCTATTCATTTTGTTGCTTATTTGGCCGCAGGAAATCAAATGAGAGCGTACTCGATAAAAGAGATAAAGAAAATACTGTTCGGCATCAGGTGTTAAAGTGCTAAATAATTCAAAAGAACGCAAAGGAGAGTAAACAAAAACGCGACGCGTGTGCTTATGTGTGGGGCGCCAATAAAAAGGCAAAAACAAAAAACTGACACCCAAAAAGAAACACACAACAACAACAATATTAATAATAAGAGTAACCAACATATAAAACAACAACAAGAAACAAGGGCATCGAGTGATTCAGCGGCGCACTAAATAAACCATGTCGGATTCGTATTATCAGGTGAGTGTGTGTCAGTGTGCGTCTGCCGGTCAAATGGGTTGCTTAATGTTTTTCATATCAGATAGCTCTCTTCCTCTCCTCCGCTATCATCGTTACTCTCTTTCTTTAGTGGACTCAGCTGGATTAGGGAACATTCCAGCGGGTAATACAGTCAGGATTCTAATACACAAACTTTGTTTACCTTTTTATTTGTTTCATCTTCAAATAATGAATGAGCCAAAAAATCAGGCAGCGAAAAGCAATATTTTTCTCTTAAAAAAATATTACAGCTGTCATATAATTTAAAGTCTCTAAATCTACATAAATTAATTTGCAAGATAATTTGTAAAATTAAATGTTAGTTTTTCGTATTATCAACATACTCTTTATTCTATTCATTACATAATACACGCATGTTTCAGTGTTTCATACTTAAAGTACATAACTCTAAATGTCAAGAAAAAAATATTTTATTCGGTTTTAAAGTGTTTTAAACTTTCCGGTGAAAATTTGTGTCAGTTTAAAAATTTCGATCAGTGCAAGTTAAACTGTGACTCATCTAAATCATCTTTGTTCTAAGCCAATTTCTGGGGTGGGTATTGTACTTAAGTGCCCTTCTGGCTGACGCACCTGTTGCGCACCGGTAGTTTCCGCTCCAGCTGACGGAAACCACTTGTGGGTCATCCCTGGAGTACTTTAGTAGCCCCCCAGTGGCCAGGAACAACAACTGAGCCAATGAAAACGGCAACAAATAGCTGCAAATGACATCACTTTCGTTAGTTAGCGTGCACAAATCGCGTTCCACATTCAAATTCACATTCAGCTCGCCAAGTGGCAATTGCCTTAAGTGCGTGACCCGCAGCCTAAAAATAGATCACGATCGGTCAATACTTTTATAAACCTTCAAATACCTAATGGGCAAGTCAAAAATATGTAAATTTATTGACCATGGGTTTTATAGGAAAAATCTGAGACTATAGAAAATGAAAAGTTATGAAATATAATATAACATATTATGTTGATAATTTTGGATATTGATCTTTAAGTATAGAATGAGCTAAGTTATCACACAGCTTTTTAAAAACCAGCAAAAAAAATTATTTCTCCCGTTTACTTATAAGTCTCTGATAATTTCAGGCATTAAGATATTTCCCACCATCGTTTTACCTTTTCTTACAACATTCATATCTTAACCAAACTTTATTTAAAGTGTTTCTTTCTGTGTGGGATTATTACTGCCTAGGTTGCAATTAGTTGGGTGCCCGGCAATCAGTTGATTACAGGGTATTTAACTGTGCAGTTTATAAATAGAACACAGTAAAGTTGTTTTGCTTGATGCAGCGCCGCATTATCTCGGCAGCCGCTTATCGGCCATTATAAGCTGTACTTCTGTGCAGCCGGTTTGTTTTTATCCGGCCAAGCGGCAGCATCCATCACGTAGTGAATGACTCAGAAAAATCATTCAGCAGTGACCCATTAAGTTCATTTCATGAACCATTCACCAAATCTGAAAGCAATTTTCAATGGCAAACGATCAAGCACAGGGCTTTCGAAAAGTGCAAACCCCCCTGAAAATATATAAGCCCACTGGAAGTCACACTCGGTGTTTAGGCAAAAAACCAGATTCCTGAAGGAGGAGCAACGGCAGCTCCTACTTACATACTTTTGCCATTTACGGCGGTGCACCTGAGTTAAAGCCGAGACGCAATCTGCCCGCAGGTTCGCTTCTTTCAGACTGAAAACCGAAAACCGGTTTCGGTTTCGATTTGAGCCATCTTGGCGTTGTTCTGAAGCTGCTCGGCAGAACAGGGTCAGCCAGTTGGCATGGAAAATGGCAAGAAGAATAAAAAGAACCTAGAAAATCCAGGACTGTTAAACTGAAAAATATCGCATATAAGACTATAGTATGTCTAGTAAGAATTTCTTTTTTAAATAACGCGTTAATCTTTCTTCATTCATATTTTTTTTATAAATTGTTATTCATTTCGTATTTAAAAATATATTTTACAAATAAATTCATTCTTTGTTGTGCAATTAAAAAAAATAGAGTAAGGATACCCTATAAAAAAAATTTAGAAAATTTAGTTTACGATTTCTTGAGTGTTTTGAGCTCGGTTTCAAGTATTGTTGATTTGTTTAACAAATTTGCAATGGGTAAAAGGCCTCGACAAACACACTTGCCATGCATGCGGAATGTTAGGCAAACATTTTGTGTGGTATGGCGGTTGGCCCATCAAGTGTCACGTGTCCCTGCTTCTTAGTCTCAACTACCCCTCTCCTGGCCAACTCCTGCATTATTGTGTGGCAACATCTTGGCCACTGACAGGCTGTCAGAACAAACAAAGGGATACACAGTGAATGAAGAGAAGGGGGAAGAGTTCCGAGGGTTGTTGTCTCCGGCCTGTTGTTTACCTTTGGCTCCGACTGCATCCCACAAACTGCCTGCAACTGCGAGATAATTCCGCCAAGTATACCAATTAATGCTTCATTTTTTTCGCTGGGGAATGAATAAAAAACAAATTTATACACGTTGTAGAGCATTCCTTTGTAAGACCATATACATATTTAAGTTTCATATTTTGTAAATGGGAATTATACCACAATTTATATATTCTGCGGTGGAATGTTTTAACACCACTTAAAAACTTATTAAGAGCAATCCACAAAAGCTTAACAAAGGAAACCGTAAAAAAAATGATCTTTTCTTAATTGTTTAAACGCAAATAAGTAATAAATTTAAAGTCGGAATATTTATTTATAAAAACAACACATTTTGGTTTATCGTGGTTCCTATGTTCCTCCATCTAGCATTTAAATATAGAAATGCCTCTCGAATAGAGATACTACAGAAAATACAGACACTGCAGTGAGTTCCTTTAATTAAATTGCCACTCGGTCTCCGTCTTGTTTACGGTTTAAATTTTCCTCTCATTCTTCGGTTTGTTTCCGCACATTTGTTTTGCACGAGTTTTCCTCAACCCTGGGATGGGATGCATTTCATTAAATTCAATTTGTATCTATTAAGTTGGCGTTGGCTAGCTTGATGGAAGCTGATAAGGTATCATACTGCGACTTGTCGTGATTTGTTTATGTAAATTTCAGCTGCGCAAAAAAGTTTTATTTCATTTCAACGATGATGCGACTTAGTACGCTTTTCCACTTTTTTCCCCCTTCTCCAAAAAAGTTTCCTTTTGCTCAGTCAAAGCTTTACAGATTATTTTGTTTATTTTTCATTGCTAAAGCAAGTTGTTGTGCTGATGTTTCGTTATCAATTCGACCCTCGGAGCTGCTTTGACTGCTTACATAAATTGAGCAATTAAATGTTGCAAAATATATTCATCGCTGCTAGTCAAGCATTCAAACGGAAACTTTATTTCCATTAGTTTTTCTTCGATTTTCCCGAGAGGCAAAAGAAA